AGAAGTGGAACCTTGAAACCGACATGAAAACCTTAGCAAACCACACGTGGATATTGAAACAGAAACGGACAAAACAACCAGTAATGTGAAGCATTCGCCATGGAAGAACCAGGAGGTTGCTCTAGTTTTGCCACAAAATCTGTGCGATGACGAAGCCAAAGTCCGCAGGAAATATGTGAACAGAAACCAGAATAGAAGAACTACTTGACAGTGATGTGCAAGGGCAAATGTTTCATGTGACGAACCGCACAGTCAAGTCGGTTCAAGCCAGTGATTTTGCCCCAAACGCAGCATAGAAAACCATTGCTTTCGCATCATGCAAGCTTGAGTACTGTGATTGCTCTCTTAGCTCAAAATTTACAACAAGAGAACACGAATTCAACCAGAGCAGTCTCGCTCCAATGCGCGTGCCCTCGGAAGTACCGATTGGGGTTTGCGACCTTGTTTCTGCAAGTAACAATAAGAGCGCATTGGTTCACGATGCAAGAGCAGGCAATGCTGGATTTGCAGGACAGACCTTCGCACAAATTCTTCACCCACCACCGTTAGCAGTTCTTGACCATGGCATTCGACAGTTTGCATCTGGTGTTTTTGGATGTTGAGTTCTTGTAAGTTCACATAAGATTCCTGTTTCTACGGTCTCCACATGTACATCCACGTCTCACCCCCGCCTTCAACTTCAACGTGGATGTCACCAGGTCCTTCAAGCGTCACTTGTAGAGGTGCGGCAAGAGCTGGTGGTGGCACATCATCTTTCTTTTCCCACCTATGGGGGATGTTGATCACTTCAGGGGCCTCGACTTCGAAGGTTTTGGAGCCTCAAACTTGAATTCGCTTAGCACTTCATGATCATGTTGCTGTGCAAAAACATGAGCGCTTGCGGCCAGGAGCCGGTGCTTAAGAAAGCCACTATGCAATGGCTGGTCAATACACGTGAGGAGCTGAGAGCAAGGCTGCAATAATGCATGCTGTGCACTCCGATGCAACACGAATGCAGAAGGCACTTAGTGACAGATGCAAGAGCGCAGAAGCAACGCAAAGATCTCACGATGAAGTGGAAGATGTTCCAGGACCTGAGTCGCGGGGCAGAGCTTCAGGGGTGAAGAGGCTGAATTGCACGCGGTGCTGGTGCTGAAGAAATTGTGGAGACCACTCTCAGCGCTGTGTTGTCCGTTATCGAAGACAATTCAAATCTTACGTGTTTGCTGCAAAGGCAATGCCACGAGCATTGCGCCGGTGCAAGCTGTGCAAGTGTTTCGAAGCAGCCTGTATGCGGTTGCATGCTACCGTGTAGTTGCACCCATTACTTGCGGACCGGTCAGCAGTGAAGATCCTACTAAACCAAATGAAGTGCGAAGAAGCACTAGCACTAAGCCAGTCTCCGATGCCCATACATGCTGTGTCTGCGAAAAGCGTCTGCTGCGCTGTGGCACCGCAGGCGCGGTGCTGTGACTGTTTATGCGCAAAGCGTTGCGCTAGCCAGGCTAAAACAACTTGCTTTCTTTGCGAAGGTGAATTTCAGATCTGTGCGGGCTTTGGAGCATCCTTGAAGAAGTGCGTGTTGCTCTGAGCAAACTTTGGAAGCCTTGCAGCTGTTTCCGCCGACCCTCGCTTTCGCTCGTTTCGGGGAAGTCAAGGCTGGAGCAGAGTGTCTGTGCACTTGCCTGTTCGTTTTCAGATAGCACAGAAGTCCTGAGAAGCATTAGGACAGTTGCATGCGATTCTCCTTTGTTTGGCAAAGTTGAGACGGATTTCACTAGAGCGAACTGCACAAGACTCCGGGAGACCTTGCTGAACATGTCGGTGTTTGGCTCAAGCTGACTCAAGCGTGGAGTGAAAAGAGTTTGCTGAACGTTTTCACAGTTGACGGCGGGTCTGCTGCAACGTCGCGCAACCCATTGCAACTCGCAGCCCCTCCACAACAAACTCACTGAAGTTGTCTGCTCAGACTCGGGCAGGCAGTAACCAATATCACCAACTCGCCAGGCTCGAACCACTGGCACAAGCTGCCAATCATCATGACATCATGATCATCTCCAATTTTTCGTCTCGTCGCATCTCGCACTGATGATATGCGAGCACGGAGTGTCAATGCACTGCTGGGCTCCCAACATCGCTCGAAATGATCTCAGACAAAAATTTTCTGTGTCAGAGCACCTTCTTGCATGTCTTGAAAGGTATTTCATGGTGAAAGTGTGCCAAGCCCGCAGCTGATCAGCATAGACGGGTGACGACTGCTACAAGGTTTGGTGAGCAGGTGTCATTGTTGAAAAGATCCCATCGCATCATTGAGAGAAAGCCAACAACTGACACAACCAGTGGTGTGGTGCTGGGCAGCCTGTTGAACAAGAAGTTCCCAAAAAAAACACGTGCTTGGTTTCGGCTGTGTGCATGGGAATAGACTAAAACAAAAGGAAAGGTTTTTGTGGGCTCCCACTAGTCCAGTAGGTGAGTGGAGGAAAGGCAAGCAACTGTCTGTTTGGGTCTCGCTTGGAGGTGGTATTGGGGAAGGTCGAATTGTGCTCCAGAGATTTTGTCTTCCAGGCTTGTGTCGAGTCTCATTCTTGTGATGTTGGAGTGTAAGGTTAGGCTGTTGCTGACCGCCTTATGCACTCTTTCGGATTGCCTGATGTGCAGAGAGAAAAGTACAACAGCTCGCTGCAGTGCAAGCCGTAGCCGGTCCCTTTTGGCTTGGCTGTATTCGTGGTTGTTCGGAGTTTGCCGTCAGTCTGTCAACGAGCCCCAACCCTCCGCATTTGCTGACCGGTCATGGCGACTGCTGCGGACCCGTCCATCCTTGGCCAGCAAGCACAGTCCAGCCTCAGCGGGGTTGCTCCGTCAGCCCCCGAAATCCTCCAGGACCGGGTCGTCATTTCAGAGCCTTGTTTGAGGGCTTCGGAAGGTCAGATGTTTTTGCCGCTGTGCCTCAAGTCTTTTTGGGGTCCTTGTCAGAGCCAGCTCTCCGTGTTCTCTCCATCAGGCCTTGGGAGTGATTGTCGGAGTTTCGTGACACAGCATCTTACTCATAGTCATAGTCATCGTCTCTTCAGGTTAGTTCTCCAAGCCCTTTTTAAAAGCAACTTCCGTTTCGTGGGGTCTACAGCCGAGTTCCGCAACCTGGGTCAGGGGTTTCCGAGGTTTGCTTTAGAGAGCAAGTGGTGATGTATGTGACATAGTGGCTCGCGGTCAAAGGGCCTCCTACTCTCGGCTCATGAAGCTTTCGCCGTTTCGCCCTGAAGACTGAGAGTGTTTGAATGTCGGTGCTTGAGCTACAAAAGAAAGTCTTCGAGGAGAAGCTCCTCGCCGAGGTTGTCGCTCTTGCAGCCCCCTCTCCCAGCGAAGTCTGTTACCAGCTCCATGAGATGCCCCCACTCTACAGCCACTTGCGATGCTTCGGATTGCTCAACACGTACCTGGAGCCCAGCACCTGCTTGGAGCTGCTGCGGATCCTCACAGGCAAAGCGACGCTTCGCATCCTTCAGTTTGAGAACGTTCCTGTGCCCGAGGCGGGGGCGCGGCTCCTGGCCGAGTGCCTTCGCAACGAGGAGCCGCCGCTGGAAGAGCTTTGGTTGGTTAACTGTGGCCTCCGCCCGGCCTCCGCGGCGCTCCTTGCAGAGGGCCTCGCCAGCAATGCGACGCTTCGAGAGCTGAGGCTAGATGCAAACTCCGTGGGAGACGCCGGGGCCACAGCCTTGGCGGAGGCCTTGCAGAGGAACCGCACCTTGCGGATCCTCAACCTGCAACTCGGAGGCGTGGGCACTGCCGGGGCCATGGCGCTGACAATCAATCTTCTCGGGAACCGCACGCTGCGAGGACTCGGCTTGGCCTTCAATCCCATCGGACCTGCAGGCCTGGAGGCCTTGGAAGCGCTGATTGAGCAGCCTGCAACCCTCACCGTCGTGCACGAGGCGCTGGTCTTTCGCTGTTGCAGGTGCGTCTTCATCATCATTAGACTGGTCCTCCACGTGATGTCTCTTGCGGCTCGGCTTCGGGCTTGGCTGCGGTGGCTGATCTCCTGCAGGTGCCGACGCCGCCAGGCAACCGGGGGTTTCGGGTTCTGGGGGCGCCGCGTAAGCACTCGGAGAGATACCTCCTCCTCACAAACCCTCTGAGGCTCTCACACGCCGTGACCCCGTCGCGGCCAACACTCTGGGAGCCAGCGAGGTCCACGACTCCGAAGTGGTTTCTGTGTGAGGCGGCCGCCAGGCCGCAGGTTTGGGGGGCTTCAGGGTTGCTGGGCAACCGATCCTGGAGCGCCCTCGAGCCCTGAGAGTTTTTCGCAGAGCTCCGTGGCCGTGTTCCGGGCAATACTTTGGGAGCCAGCCGCCTGATCCGCCTCTATAGCAGGCCGCGGAACTACTTGATGACTCGCTGCCCAATGCTTGCTTGCTTTGCCTTCTCCGGTGATCCTTATGAGAGCGATTTCGAAGCTTTGGAGCTGTCGCAAAAGTTGTCGGACAATGAGCCGGCAGCTGCTTAGGAAATGGTTCGCATCCCGGAGCCCCGCAAAAGGCTCATCTCTCGTCTTGCGACGAGCCTCCCTTGTCGGTCTTAGGAAAGCAAAATTAGCTGGGAGTGGGTTGGGGGTTTGGGGTGGGGAGGGTTCGACGTCCGAGGTTTTAAGAGTGCACCGATGGATCAATCGAAGCTTCAGGATTTGGGGACTTAGTAAGCAGGGTAATAAGTACCCTCAGTCGGGTTTTCATTTCATCTTACTTTACTTACCTTACAATGCATCCTCCAGTATGCAGAACCTTGTTGTGTCAACCTAGCCCCACTCCAACTGTACGGACCCTGCTGCCTCAGCACAGTGCACTCCAAAGTCTTGGAACATGGTTACGGGATGATTTTGGCTGGTTTCCTTGTAGTTTTACTTTTGCGAGTCAAACTACTCGGCTCACCTGAAGGGGCTACGGACTCAGGGCTTAGGCGTAGGTTCTGGTGTAGCAGTGTAGCACTTCTGACTCCAGGCCAGAACCCTAAACCCTAGGCTTGAGGGGGCCCCCTCGCAACTAATGGGCATGCTTCTTTAGAAGGCACACGCCAAGATACATATAGGACATGCGGGGGTATACAAGATCATCTTTTCCACATGCTTGTGTGTAGTCGGAGACAGTTTTCCACATGTATTGGTGCCTACAAAGACAGTGTTTCCACATCTGTTGGCGCCTGCAAAGACAGTTTTTCCACAATCAAGCGTGCCCTTTCGCGCAGTGTTGCTGACCCCATTAGGGATGCCATTTCTGCAGAGTTCTTGTGGCAGTCAGTGACATCAT